GAAGCGTTTCCCACACAAAACCTACCCTTGCCTTGTGCGAGGAGGCCCTGTTATTTTTTAATGTTGGTCTTTCTTTAAAAGATAGATTTTATGACCCACTAGTGGTTGTGCCTGCAGTTAGGGAAACACTGTTCTGTAAAATGATTTGCCCGCCCTACTCCTCTGCCCCCGTGGGGAGGTGGGAGCGCCAGCTCCATTTCCCTGAAGCAAAACCCAAGCCAAGCCCCCCACGCCGTCATGGTGAAGGTCACTGTGGATCCGGGCCTCGCGAGCTGCTCGCGGGCCTCCAACGGAGGTGAGCCCCACAGGGTCCCAGGAAGGTGCATGGACGCAGGTGGGGAGTTGCAGAGGGCCGGGTTCAAATCCTCCCTCCGCTAATTACTTGCTGTGTGACCTTGGATCACACGTTGGATAAGTAATTTTTTTTTTTTTTTTTTTTTTTTTTGCGGTACGCGGGCCTCTCACTGTTGCGGCCTCTCCCGTTGCGGAGCACAGGCTCCCGACGCGCAGGCTCAGCGGCCATGGCTCACGGGCCCAGCCGCTCCGCGGCACGTGGGATCCTCCCGGACCGGGGCACGAACCCGCGTCCCCTGCATCGGCAGGCGGACTCTCAACCACTGCACCACCAGGGAAGCCCTTGGATAAGTAATTTAACCCCGGAGTTTCGGACTCCTAGTTTGTAACACGGAGATAAGTAGTCCCTCCCTCGCAGCGTCGCCGTAAGCATTCAGGATAGTGACCATTATGTCCCCAGCAGAGCTCTGGAATATTTGAGCAGGCAGAGCAGGGTGGGAGACGGCGCAGCGCCTGCGCGTCCCTGAATTCCCAGGTTCACCTTGATTTCCAATATTCGAGCGGTGCCTGCTGTTCCTCCACGCGACAGCCCTCGGGGCACTGCGCGCACCAGGTCCCCATTACTGCACCCCGCCACGCGTGCCCGCCCCTGCGTCGCCTCGCTGCCCCTCACGCCGGCTCCAGCTCGTCCCCCCTGCCGTGCTCGGCGCGCCGCCACCACCGCCTTCTTAGAGCCGGGCGCGCGCTCAGTGCAACTCCCCAGGTTGCCCTCTCTCCCCCGCCCCCAACGGTGCGTTCCTCGAGGCTAAACTGAGGGTCGTCTTCCTCCCGGCCCCGGGCGCCGAGCCAAGCGTCCTGGGTGTGCGGGGTGAGGGGCGTGTAAAACCCCCAACAACCCGGCCCCGTCAAACTCCAGGCTCCAACCCTCCTGCGGCTGTGAGCGCGCCTGCGCCCGGCTGGACGTCCCCAATGGGGCAGCGTCCGGGCGCATCCCTGGCCCCGCCGAGACGAGCGGCCGGAGGCGCGGACCGAGGCAGGCGGCCTGGAGCGCAGACCGGCCCCAGCCTCCTGCCGGCGTGGCGGGGCCTCCGGGTCAGCGGAGGGGCAGGGAGGGTGCGGCCGGCGCAGAGCCCCACCCGGCCGACCCGACTTGCCCGCGACACCCGAGGAACAAAGTAGCCTCGCGGGGAGGGCGCGGTGGGCGCCGGGTAGTAGCCTGCACAGTCGCCCCCTGGTCGCTGTCCCGCGACACACCTAGGTCCCCACGCCAGGGGCACCCGGCCGCACCCTCCCTGCCCCTCCGCTGACCCGGAGGCCAGCGCCAGGGGCACCCGGAGCACCCGACGCGCTCTCGCCTCCCACCTGCCCCTCCGCCACCGAGAAGAGGCGCCCCTGAAAACAAACAAAAACAAAAACACAATCAGCGTCGGGGCGCCCTGGCCTCCCAGGCCTGCCTGGTGAGCACCGGGCCCGCGGTTTCAGCTGGAGGCTTTGGAACTTGCCATCCCACCCCATCCCACCCCGCTCCCGTCATCCTAAGGATTTGACGTCACGCCTGAGGTTAAAATTGGTGCCACTTTCTGTACCGTGTTGTTGCAGTGTCAGGTGCCTACCTGTGCGAAGCGAGGTCTGGACACATAGCGTACCATTACACTGCCACCGGAGGGACAGATAGCCGACTCGGGAGGAATCCGTACCTTTGCACATGCTGTTTATTTTCCGTGTCTGAGCGTCCTTCCCCTTACCTTCTTCCTGTGAGTTCCTCGTCGTTTTACAAAACCCTGCGTGGACGCACTTCCTCCCACTGCGTAAGCCTGCCTTCCCCACCCCACCCCCCACGTCTCCCCGCCCCG